AACTAACGGTTACGTTCTGTGAACATTCCTGGTTTTCGGACTACCCTCTACCTCTACTAAGACTGGAGTAATGACCTCCCCTATGTTGTGTTTGCGGTGATAGAATACCAGAACAAACATCTCAATCCACCTATTTGTTGAAGTGGCCGTAACACACGGAATTGCACACAGCTATGCGCTCTCGAAATGAATCCTGGAGAAAGGAGAAAGCGGTCTCTTGACGGCGAGCTGGAGATTTCAAAGAGAAATGCCTTGCATCAGAGCTGCAGCCTTTGATAGTCCGAGACAGTTGATAAATAACCACGTGTTTTTCTTGTAACAAATGAATTCTTGAGCGGACATCGTACGTTGCTTGATTTTTAATTTCTAGTAAATGAAAATTTTTGTTTATCTTTACGATTCATGGGTTTCTGAACTTTTTGGCATGTCTTATTGTTGGAAAAAATAGATGCATGTGTGTGTGTTTGCATATGTATGTGCGGATTACAATTTATATTAATCGTAAAAAACGAAAATGAAAATTTCTGCATGTTTTTACGTTTCACGGGTTTCTGAACTTTTTAGTACACCTCAGCAAAAATGACTGTATGTATTTGTATGCATATTCATGTGCAAGTACAATGTTTTATCTACATTTTCGTGAGCAAGGATCAACCGACTTGAATGACTTGAACAATATTCGATTTTTATTGACTGGGATACGTACTGATCAGGGTTTGGCAAAGGCAAAGTGAAAAAAATTATAATTGTTTTTGAAAGAACAGAGTTACCAATTTGAATGATTCAAAAAGCATTTTACTAGTATGGATGGAATGAAGATTTGATTAAATATTTGGGAATGCAGGTCCAGCGGTTTCGGAAATCTAATAAAAATAAGTTAATGAGAATGCTATGTAGCGGACATAAATGATTATTTGACCCTTATCAAATGTTTCATAGAGATTTTAATAATAGGCACGCGTTTTGTTCACTTGTCTTAAGGCACGATGTCATGCACTACTGGTTTTTTGAAAATATGGAAGAAAAAAAGTTTGTTTCATGAAAATTTCCTGGCATCCCGAACACATAGAAGCTTTAAATCAAAACTTACACGACGATCTTAACCTAGAATTTATAAACAGAGTTATAAAAATAAATAAGGTCAAACATTTTCAAAAACTAAAACATTATTCAAATTGAATAGTCACTCAACTTATTCTTGAGACACTCAAGAAAAACTGATTTCAAGAAACTGATAAGAATCTGCCGAAAGATAATAGTGAAGACCTTTAGCACTACCACATCTTTGTGGAAATAATAAATTTGGTGAATGTGTGTATGTGGCATGAGTGAATGATATACGCCTAAAAGCTCATAAGATTTATACTGTATTAGTGTATTCTGATTGCTATTGAGAATAAAATTTAAAAAAAATCAAGAATCAAAAATTGGTAAATTGTCATGCTGTCAAGATTTGTTTTTTTTAACTTGTTTTATTTGGCAATCAGAAATACATAAAGATTCCTATGAGCTAAAATAACAATATTTAAGAGCGATGCCTAAGAAGAGCTCCAATGAGATCTTCTCAGTTTAACAATTACTATGATAATATTATATTAGACCTAATCTAAGACTAAGTCTAAAGGCCATTGCCGTTTCGATCTCTTTATGCCATAAGGTTTAATGTCATCTATTGATAGTTCGAATGTGAGTCCAGTTTTGCGTTTGTATTTTTCCTTGAGTTCTTTGAACGTTAAATGCACCGTTTTCATGTTGAGGTCGCTGTGAATGGTTTCATTTGTTACGTACCACGGAGAATTAAGAATTGTACGTAAAATTTTTGACTGAGTATAGCTATATTTGATTTATAAGCACATCCCCAGAGCTCAATTCCGTAGGTCCAGATTGGTTCAATTATGGATTTATATAGCAGCAACTTATTTTCAACAGAAAGCTTAGACTTTTTACGCAGTAGCCAATCAAATTCTTTCATTTTGATCATTATTTGCTGCTGTCAAGAATGACAAAACACTTCCATCCTATTGCTGGCGAATAAATCTCAAAAAACAAAAATTTACCATGACCTTGGATTTACTTTCTACCGACTTTTTCCAGATGGTTTCCAGAGTATTTATATTTTATTATTTTGCTCATTTTCAGGTCGATATCACGTAGATGAAATGGTTCAAGATTCGCGAGAGGACTGTTACAAATCCACACTTCACGTGAATGGTGTCGATTCAGCGGATTCGAGACCCTATTATTTGGTCGTTGAAAATGAACGAGGAGCGGACAGGCATGCTGTCACGCTTAGAGTGGACGGTGAGTTTACAGGTGCGAGGTTTAGGCAAATTGCACAAAAAGTTTACGGAATGCATATTTAGGAACTGCATCATCCGCTGTTTAATTGTACATTAAATCTTTGTTTTGGACTTTTACTTTCATATTCAAATCATTCAGTTTTCGCTTTATGGTAACGAATTTTTTGTACAATGCAATGTTGCCTGCAGATGTATTCATGTATTGATCATACATATTTTAAATTTATCATATACTTATACGAGTATTAATTTAATTTTTTTAATAAATTATATTTTTTGAAATATGCTATTAGCATTTATAGTATCTAATCATATCTATCAACATATATTTATGCTTTTAATCAATGGTGTTGTGCTAATATTTTTTTTTGCCGGAACGCTAAAATTTAAAATCCGGTTCAAAAAATTTGATATATTTCGATAAGAACTCACAAATCTAATATATTGACTTTTTATATAATTAACTCTATTATACACAGCTAGTCTATACATTAAATTGTACAAGTATAAGGGAATCATTGAGTACATAATTTATATTCTTCAATGACATTAATCATATTTATTCTGGTATTATTTGTATTCATTAATACCTACGGGTATTTATTATGATATAAAAGTACTCAAGATTTATTACAATACTTTATAAGACTTAACCTAATAATATGATAGATAACCTATTACCTATCATACTATATTATATTATTGTATATCATCGATAAATATCTATCATCTATCATACCGTGATTATCTATCTATTATATCCGTGATTACCTATACCGTCATTATCTTATTAATACCTACAGACCTTTTACTTCTTATAAATACTACTGTCTAATTTATATATTCACCTATATTATATAGGTTTACCTTACGCCCTATGTATTATCTCTACCTACCTATTGTCTATACCGGGAATTGAACCCGGGACCTCCGCGTGGAAGTCGCGCACCTTAACCACTACCCTATCGGATACCCCCACTAATAATATATATGGGACGCACTGTTGTTTCCGCGGGTCATTTTCTAATTAATTAGGTAATTAATACTAAGGTGGCGCGACGACACGCGGAAAAAAAACGGTTGATTGTAGCGTTACGGTGGTGTAGTGGATAAGGTCGTCGCGTGCCACGCGGCGGACCCGGGTTCAATCTCGGTAGGGTTAATGTAGCGTGTAAAAAAAATATAGGTAATAGGATAGTATATAGGTAGTAGATATAGGTTAGGTTAGTAGTATGTCGGTACACAATGTAGGGATTTGAGAGTATATAATGAAATATAGCGTATGGTACAGATGTAAGGCGTGTAGTATAGAATGCAACGTATAGGCACACGTAAGGCTATAAAAATACATGAATAGGAACCTATGATGTAGATGTTAGCGTATAAGAAATGCGAATGAATGTAAGATTTGATTTATAAATATTATTTTTTCTATAAGAAGTTCATACACCTCAATTTGTTACTAAATTAAAAACGACTTTGATAAAACCAGTGGTTTTGTGCTAATATTTTTTTGCCGGAACGCTAAATTTAAAACCGGTTCTAAAACCGTTTTCATTTTTTTTCAGTTCCGTTCAAAAGGAAAGAAACAAAAATTATTACAAAACCCATTTTGTGCACATATATGTATGTTTTGCAATAATAACATTTAATAAAATTAGTTGAATAATAACGTATAAATTTACTTATTAAATCATTTTCTGTATGTAGCGATGTTTTTATATTTTTTCTTGCCGGAACGCGTTCCGGCTCAAAAATGATTTGCCGGAACGACGTTCCGGCGCGTTCCGGCTCGACAACACCACTGCTTTTAATAAACTTTTTATACATTCTTTTCAAATTGCACTGCTTATAAAGTATAATTTACATTAATTTTTTTCAAATGATAGTGAAGTAAACAACATCATATAAAATATGTTGCAAAGTAGTTATCTGCCGAAAATTATGAAACACCATAAGGCCAGTAAATCATATGTAACTGTTGATTATGCAAGAAATGACAATATCATATCAATGAAAATGATTTCCATTCAGCTCTCCGTTTAGGGGGCGACCATTAATAATCTGAAGTTTTTAGGGAGAGGGGGGGTTTGACAAAAAATCACGAAATATCACGTGAGGGAGGGTGGGGTAAAGCACGGTATCACGTGTATATATTTTTTTACCTAGATTTTTTTTAAATCTAAACATTTAAAAAAATCAAAATTCTACAATTTTTTCTCTTGTAAAAATACACGTGATGTTTGATGGCGGAGAGGGGTAATTTTGAATCACCACGTATCACCAAGGGGTAAGGGAAAATTCCTTAAAAATCGATCACGTGATTAATTGACGCCGCTTTAGATTGGATCATTTGTTGATCATAAAATAAAATAAACGCTATATAATCGACTCAAAATTCTAAATATGGTTCTATATGCTTTGGTGATGCAGAACATTTGTTGTTGTCTATTTTAAATTAATTTGAAAATGTGTTTGAACCGTGTTTGAAATTTATTAATTTTTAATAAGTATTATGTTTGGTTACATACATTTTGATCACATTTACTAAAAAATACATCGATAATTTGAAGTAAAACTTCTTTAGGCGTGACTAGAAATAGCGTAATAATATAAATCTGTATAATGGTCGACACTAATAAATGTGTGCTCACGAGTGTTACCATATTACTAATAAACTTATTCAAAATTAATTTTTACTAAACTTAAATTTTCTACTTTGTACAGTAGCAAATAAATTTTACTTCAATCGCGTGTGAACCTTACGCGCACTCTTTTTTTGTCTCAGGTTTTATTTGTCCATAATATAGGCTTTCAGTTGAATCGTATCAAGTTTTTTCCGATTCTAATCTTGATTTAAGGATTTATCTTTATTTATGTCAATTTATTATAAAACTTCTCGAAAATTAACGACGTTATTGTTTACCACTATCAGTTTGAAGTAATTTCACCTATATAAAATAAATGTGTCTACCTATTTCAATGTCATTTCTTTATAGAGCCTTTAGCCATGAGCGTGCTGTTGGGCGTTGCAGGGGGCTGCCTGGCCGGTCTAATACTCCTGGTCTGCCTTTGCGTGTGGGCTATGCGCTCCGAAAAGTGCTGTTTCCGCAGTAAGTATTCAAGATATAAGTTAAAACTTAATTAAAATGAATAAAAAATTACGTTCTTGGTGTAGACATCAAACGCAATTTTTAATAAAAGTTATTAATTACACTGACCAGAAATAATATGTAACCTGATAGGCTATATCAGACTTTTAAAACAGCTTGATTAAAAAAATAAGTAGTTTAGTATGTAATTAGTATTTCTTAGTGAGATGTAAATCAAGTGATGCGTACAAAATGATTTCTTAAAACTAGCTTGTACCTATGGTATAAAATTATAGTGTTATTTTTAGGTAGAATAGGTTAGGTATTTAACATAATATTTGTGAGCAGATAGTAAAGATTAAAATATCATGAATTCTACACATGTAATTTTTAATCCAATTGCATTAAACGGTTGATATCACAAAATAGGATTTAGTTGGTTTTTAATAAAATTATTAACAAAAATTACAGTGTTACCACGAGATACAAATTTAATTCGTTACCTAACTATGCTCGTATGTCAAATCACTCGTATCTCGAATCATTTTTTCCTATATAAATACATTGAAATTTCATTAATTCGTTCCAGCACTAGGGTTTTTGCAAACCATTTTGTATATTATAAATAATTTTACTGTATATTATTTTTTGTTTTTTTTCTGACCATTCATGATATTGTGGGAATTAGTTAGACATGTTACGTTGAACAACTGCGATGCTCAAACTGTGGCAACTTTTTTGGGGTGATTTTTATCTACAAAGTTTTAGAGCTTTAGAAGCGTCTTATAAATGATTGTAAAACCCTTATCTGGATTTATATCCTCTATCAACACCTTCTGTTTAAACACAGCACATATTTATAATACAGTACAGGAAAGCTCGTTCGTACATCCTCATATTTTTCAATAATTTCAACTATTGAATTCAAGAAATTAGGCCTTTTTCTTTAGACCCATGGGTGTAAAAATACATAATATTTTATTATTGTACAAAATGCAAGGAACGGTAGATCAATATAAATATATATATATATATATATATATATATAACTATAAAATCACTATTAATGTATAGTAACAATTTCAAACATATAGTCGAAATGACTAACTATTAATTAAACTATTATAAAACAGCCAAATATTTCTATGGTAGAAAAATCATTGTTACAACTGACAAAATTTTTCATATTTTCATTTTATAATTAACACTTTTCGAGAAAACTTTTACTTGCTCAAAGCTTGTATCTCGAATTTTGCTCGTATCTCAAAGCAAAGAATCCGCTCTTATGCAACACTAGTATGTTAGGTCACTCGTAATTCAGGGTACTACGGTATATTATAATACACTCTTGCTTTTTCTCGTGTGTCACGATCAGCTTTTATGATTAAAATTCATTCATAATTACAAAGTTAACTCCTCAAAGGCCTGAAGACCAGCATATTGTCCTAAAAAAAATAATGTATATTTTGATTGACAATAAAGATATGCAAAAGAACAAATGATTACAAGATTAATATTTTTATTTTATCAGGAAAATTTGCTCACTCATCTCTGAATTTACTTTGAGTTGCATGGAACGGTTTAACATTATATATTTAGCAGCGTTAATACATGGAATTGAATGTTTCATTTTGAGTGAACATACTTTACAATGTATCCAGAGCACTTTTGTTTTATTTCAAATCATGATTTCCTACAATTTAACTTTTATCAACCCGATATGCATAGAGGAGAGTATCGTGCTGTTCGAACCGCCTATCTACTCGAAATTGGCCGCCGAGTCGCATGTGAAATTTCATTGAACGTGCCGGAATGTATCAAAGTCACGATATTTTCACAGTTGCGGTATTATTCTGATTGCCCGTTGCGGTATAAAGATATATAGATAGATTTGTATGTATATATAGTGTTATTACAATGCTGTGCCCTAGTACGTGATATATGTTTATTTTGCGGAATGGAATACTTCTATTTGCTGCGTTTCGCGCTTTCGTTTTTATGGGGGATATTTATGAATTTGATTCTATTCTATAATACTGTCGCACGATACTTATCATGGGGAAAATTAAACTAGGTGAAAAAGTTTCAAAAATATTAGAGAAAAATTATTTTTACATCAGGATCTTAACCAGCGTTTGTAATCAGCTACATGGTTTGTAATGATCCGATTAGAATGCTTCAAGTAACATGCTATTTTTGATCAGGCTACATTTCGAGTTTTCTGCAATTTACTCGCCAACTTATAGGATTATTGAAATAAAAGTTTTTTGTAGTCTAAATGATAATTCCTCTATGCTTTAAAGATGCCAATCTAAGCAATTGTCGTCCTATAACTAACTTGAAATCTGTTGGATCATTTAGAAAACGTGTCGATTATTTCTTGACAATGATTGGCCAGGCCATTTTTTCATAATTCATTGTTAAAACAAAATGAACGATTTTAATGAAACTTTGTATGGCAATAAAGCATCTGGCCTGAATGTACTAACTAAACTATTATGTTCGGACATACTTTTAATTCATTATATTGGCTATGAAAGCGGCAATCTTCATGGCATTGAGCTTTTACACCGGAGGTTTCTGCCCTGTGTAGGGGGTAACGGATAGCGGTTGGATACAAATTTTGGTCGACGATTTCGGGAACACCGATCAACCGATTTGAATAATTCAAAAAAACATTCAGTTCGTATTGATAAGAAGACGTATTAATTAGTTTTTGGCAAAGGCATGTCTAGCCGTTCCGAAGATAAGGGGCAAAAAGTGCCAAAAACGGTATCTCGGTTTCTAAGAGAACGGAGCGTCCGAATTTTAATAATTCAAAAATAATTTTACTTGTATTGACAAGATGAACAACTGATTACATTTTTGGGGTTATGGACTCTCTATAAAAATAAGTTCAAAAACTGTCATTTGGCGGTCAAAAATGTTTATTGGACATATGTACATCAAATTATCAGATATTTTATAGCGATTTCAATAATGTGTACACATTTTGTGTAAATTTTTTTGGGTTCCGTACCAAGATTTTTAATTACGGTACGGGAAGTTCTAGCAATTTGCCTTGAGGCACGATACCATGCACTCCACTAGTTTTTTTTTGCACTGATGATGAGACAAATTGCGGTTTCCATTTATTCAAAACTTATTGCATTAGATTAAAAAGTTGGTAAATTTAAAATTCAGTTTGTGCATGGAAATGCACATGTGTATATATAAGGTTGTCAAATATCTCCCTTCCGCCTTTTTGTATTATAAACCAAGAGCAAAAAAGCGGAAGGGAGATATTTGACAACCTAATATTACTATGAAAGTATGGTCTACTTTCAAGACATTTTTGCATTTTCATTTAATATAACAGCGAACATCAAAAATAATACCTCTTATCTTACATCATATATGTCCCATAATATATCTAATGTTATGATTTCTAATATTATATAAAAGCATGAGAATCAATAAGAGAAAACTTAATGGGTTTTGATATTACAACTTTGATAGACGCATTTCATTCATTTTATCGCCGCAAATACTTCGAATATTAAGGAATGATAATAAAGGAATGCCATAAAATTTTATGATAAGCAGTAGCTAGAATTTATCTAATATCCATCATAAATATTTTTACATTCGGTTAATAATATTAGTAATTAAGTAAAATAGATTAAGATAATTAAGATTCTATCAATTTCTATGAATTATGATTGTAAATTTTGTTATTTCAGAAAGAAGAGATATGAAAGCAGGGGAACTTGATAGGTAAGTCATTTTACTTTTTTTTTATTAATTTACTTGACTTTTAATATAATGTTTGAATGTTTTCTTACATAGATATATGGTTTCTGCAATTATATCACTTTCCATTATTAACTATTCTAGAAATCTATAGTTCTCGGATTTATAAGGTTGCGAGATATATTATAGTTGTTAACTTCTCGAAATTGTTTACTTCTCCTTTCGACCGGTAATTCGATTTTCTAATTTTAAGTTTTTTGACATTTCAAATCATTCTGAATCGTTTGAGACCAAAATTGGAAAAAGTATGTGTTTACATGTGAACCAAATTAGATTTTTGTCCATGTTTTCTCAAAAACTGCTGCATCGATTTCAATCGTTTAAAAATCTTTTATTGAAACTCGATAAGGATTTGTGCTTATTAGTGTTTCACCATTATCAGAATAGCCGTTTCTTTACGACGATCAATAAAGGATCGATACTGATTAGTTTTTCGAATCACGAATTGGTGAAAAGAATTTTTTTTATTATGATTCTGTTAAAACTTTTTGTGATAAGATTTTGTCATCATCTTAACAAACATTCTGAAATTTCAAGACTTTACTAAAATTGGTTTAATTATGGAAATCATTAAAGCTTAGAATAATGAGCCTTGCTAGATTTCCAAACTTCTATCATGGCAATTGTAAGAGTTGTTAAATTTCATTGATTATATCAATTATTTACATATACCAGGAAGTTTTTGCAACTTTTCTTTAGGTAAAATGTGACTTACACCATTTCTACAGTCATTAAATGCGTTATTTTTTAGTCAAAATCATCAAACGAGCTAAAATTTAAATCTTGCTTGTATTTAACATTTTAAAGACAATAGAGCTAAACTCGTATATTGTCTGTTCCGAGCAATTTTAACTATTAATTGTAAACATTCTAAGTTTTTTTTTTGTTTAATAAAATATGATTTAAAAAAACTTAGAACGTCTGTCGAATTGCTACTTAGACGTGCCCTTTGTTTACTCACAAAATTTCCCGAAATAAAAAATACTCTCATACTTGCGACCAAATTATGCGTAATTGTTTTTAGAGCATGATTTAATAATACTAAGTTTTTTGTTATTTAATTTGTGGCTTCTAAGGTTTAAAACTTTCTTTTTAAGTTTGAGTAGAGGAAGTTACTTCTTCAAGAAGAAGTCACACTGATTTAAATTAATATACACACTGGTATAAAAATCTAAATTAATATATACAAAACCTTTCTGTGAACCATTGCAGACTGATAAAATATCAAATACTATTGATCCGATATGATTTCAAGAATCAAAACACTTTCATCTATCTTTTATATTTGGCTATATTTGTCATTTTCCATTTATACAGTGAAAACCGACTTTTTTCACTAAAGCAACGGGTTTCGAATTCCATAATTTTCGCCAAGAAAACGGTTTTAAAACCGGTTTTTGAAAACCGGTAGTACAATATAGTTTATTTTGATAGAAGTTTCTGTAACAAACAAAACCCCTTCCTCTCAATAATTGTATGATGTGTTGTACCTTGCTAAAAAAGATCTCATAATCCATTTTGCCATGCATTTTATTAATATTTACCAATTTATCTTACCTTGAACATGCATGATAACCTATATCTTCATTAAACCCTTTGCATATGGTATATCGATTTACACCAAAACTATTCGGAAAAATGTGTGGGTACAATTACATATATTTTGTTAGAACTTTCTATAACAAACAAAGCATTTTCCTCTCAATAATTGTATCACGTGTTGTTCCTAGCTAACAAAATCTTCTCATAATCCATGTCGTTACGCCCACGTAGTGGACTTATTCGATTTCCCAGTCAGTTCGGGGTGTTCGTAACCAAGAAGGGATAATGAATGGAATTGCTCGAGTGTAAAAATTCCACACGATCACATACGACGAACAATCCGCACTTTAGTGTCCTTTCCTTTCTGGTCAGAGTTCAGGAAAAATGTTTATATTGTGGGCCGAACATTACGTACCTTCATATATTCCGACACGGTTTCTTTGTGTTTATATACTTGTCGAGTTTTTGCTCCTACTGGAGAGTATTCGGAATTCGGGATTCTATATTGTTTCAGACGAGTGCTGTCGTGGATGTTCATATATATTTGGTGACAAAAATAATATATATATATATATATATATATATATGGTATATTATATATATATATATATAATATATATATATATATTAGGGTAATCCTTAATATGGATGTTTTCGAACTTCCTTCCTCCCAGAGGCTCAAATGCTTCCAAATTCATAAAAAATATTCTCTGAAAGTTTTATCTCTTAATATTACCTTTAAGATAGTCCGCACTCCAACCAAAGTTTCTTGGTTCATCTTCCTAAGTAAATACTTATTTTATGAACAATATAAAATTTTTGTTATAATTTTTTTTATTTCTGATCAAAATAAGCAAAGACAATGTTGATCTCAAAATTTTGATTCACTTGTCTATAAGTTATAAAACAAATTAAATTTAACCCATGTTATTTCCATAAAATTTTTGGTTGAAGTGCGAACTATCGTAAAGTTAATATCAAGAGCTAAATTTTTCAGAGAATTGTTTTTTATCAATTTGGAAGCATTTGAGCAATAAAATTCAAAAATATCCATATTAAGGACCACCCTAAAGAATAAAACGGGACATAAAGGTCTACGGGTAAAAAGACACACCACCGTTTTCAAAGTATGGATGCCTGTTTTAGACCTGTTTTACGACATGGATTATGAGAAGATTTGATTAGTAATAAATTATTGATTAGTAATTTTATTAATAATTTCTCGTGGTACAATAATTATTTGGAGGGAAAGTGGTTTATTTGTTATAGAAACGTTTTTCCAAGATTAATGTAATTAAACACATTTTCCTTACAGTTTTGGTGTAAATGAATATATCATTTTGTATAATGATAAACAGATAGTCATTAAAGTATAAATTTGTTATTGATATTATTTTAAAGTAGAGAAAAAATCAAAATCAGAACATGACTGGACACATCTGTTGTTAGTCTTTTTGTTTGTAAACTCGTTTGTTTAGTTTACAAAACATGTATATACTTTTTTACCTATACGTTATTTAAATGATTTATAAAATATATTGTTATTTTCAAGTTAGATCCAACAGTTTTTTTATAACCTCTAGAATAGCTTATTTGCGGTTGAATAATAAGAACCACCTAAATTGCTCTAAACCCTTACATTGACAAGGTGTAAACAATAAGAAAATAGAAAATAAATCATAAAATACGTTAAAAAACAATTTGCAAGAGATAAATTAATAGTTATTCCAACTCTGATGATAAATTCTTCTCACAAAGTTCCATACGAAAATTGTATGCTCCTAAAATATGTATTGTAATATATCTAATTTGCTAATATAATTTATGTAATTTATCTCATTTGCTAATTTAATGTTCCCCCGACAGTACAAGTCATACTGAATCGCTTGATACCAACTTTGGAAAAAGTATGTGATTGTGTGTGTGAGCCGAAAATCTCATTTGTAATGGTTGATTTTCAAGATACTATAAGTTTGATTATAATAATTAAATAGAAATAAATACTGAAAACAATATCTATAAAGTAATAAGAGTTGATATAAAAGTTTTATATCAACAATTTTATATATTAAGATTATGATTTTTGTTGTTCAACTTAATAAACTGTATCGCGTTAATTGAGTAATGTAACTAGCATTCTATAGAAACTTTTTAAATAAAATCGTGAATTTTTTTCCCTGGCTGTCCATTTTTACCACACGTACGTGGTAAAAAGTTTTATAAAATAGCAAAAAATCTTATTTCTCAATGATGAACTCGCTGGGAGTTTTATTGAACATAGTCAGGCAGTTCTTTGTTTGAAATGTGGTATTTGTTGTGATATAAAACACAAGTGATATCCAATTGGACCTTTGTTTCTCTTCTTACCATATTCACTTTACACAACACTTTCTTGTTATTATACTTTAGTATCGGATAGTGTTTTGTGACTAAATATTCGCTCATAGTATTTTCTTAATAAAAATTAGATTGTACACCATGCTAATAAAAAATCTGTCATGTTTCTTCTCCAACAGTTAAGCGTTCCAAACAAAAATAACTTTAAAGTTGAAGGGTGAGTTATGCGACGAAGCATATTATGGCTTTTTTATTGTTGGCTGTGTCGCGTTCTTTGCACCCCTTCCGGTCGTTTGTTTTTATATCGAGGGCGGTTTTATTGAAGAGGGCACCCTTTGCACCCTTATTGAAGTATTTGTATTCATGGACATCAGTCGTAAACGGTCAGCGCCGTAAACTAATGCCGTGATGAATTGTGGCTGAAAATGAAATATACGAGAATATCAGAGGTTGAAATAGGAAATATAATAGATTTGTTCGAAATTCAAATTTTTATCAACTTGCCTGAAAATCTTATTTGCTAATTTAATGTTTCCTTGACATTACAAGGCATTCTGAATCGTTTGATGACAAATTTGGAAAAAGTATGTGTGTGTAAATGACCAGATTTGAAACTTCGTAGGTATTTTCTGAAAAACTGCTAAATAGATTTCAGAATAATAAGCGATTGCGCGATGATCAGTCAATCTGTTTCTTTGAAATTAGCTAAAAAGTGCAAAAATTTTTATGTACGTGTTTGCAAAAAATTCGTATTTTAAAAAATTCTGAAACTGATCGATATAGTTATTAGTTCCTAATCGGCCGGGTATGGTAAGATCGGCCAGGCCATTTCTTTGTAGTTAAATGTGAAAATAATATATTTTTATGGGTTTTAATGAAACTTAACATGGCGCTAGAGTTTATGGTCTAAACCATAGATTCCCAAACTTTTTTGTGTCATGGACTCCTTGGGCAAGTTCAGTGGCAAAACTGATATTTATACGATTATACGATATAGATTCTTTTATAAATTCAAAGTAAAAATACATTTTACTTGCATAAAGTTTTTCAATTGAATTTGAAATAATAATAAAAAAGTAACGTAA